ACCCGAATTCCCTATTCTACCCTTTAGATTCCAGGACAAACACTGCAAAAGAGAGAGGGATAATATAGTAATTAGAGGGGAAACAGGTCTGGCAGGTGGTGGCTTTGGGCCTGGTTTTCGAAACTGAATCTGACGGACCGGTGCTCTATTTGAGTGTCTCTCTGTGTGGCTTTTTGAAGATTTTTTGAAAACATCGAGACCAAAATCTTTCAACGGCTGAGATGCTTTGTCTCACTTAAAATCCATCGGCTCTAAATATGTTGCAAGTATTCTTTCTTTTCTTTATTTCTTTAATTAATCTTAACTACAAAATCTAAGATGGTGGTGGTGTCGATTACTTTAACTCCTGATTTCAAAACTAAACTCTTTTTTTGCATAGAACTCAAAGTTGTTAATCATAACATGTGTTAGTTAAATAACTAACATTATTATATTCGAATTTATTAGGACTTTCTTGAAATTGCATTGTAATCATATATGTTTTTAAGTTTGAAGAAAATACGTTTTTTTTTTTGTGTAAAAGCATGTCTAAGTATATTATATCCATTGTTTTGTTAAATATAAGTTTTTATTATATAAAATGGTACTTTTATATGTTAATTTGGGTCAATGAAAATGACAGTGCTGTGTTCAAAACTTTCACTCTATTATTTGTTTTAAAAAAAATAATAATTTAAGTATTAAGTAGTTAATGTACCTTTTGTCCATTCTTAATAAACTATTTACATTAGGTATACTTAAACGATATTAAAACACTAAACCACTGTGTTGGAAACCAAACTTATGTTAAATTATAAAACAATTTTTTTTTCTTGCCAACACAAATCAGATTAATCGCACGGTCCCAATATGTTGTTCACAATTTCTAAGAAAATTCGTGGTAATGAAACACCTCGATGACATAACATGGATCACGCTAACATATTTGTTTATTCCTTATCTAACACTATAGATACAACCATAATCACACAACAAAATATAATAGCATTACCAACAAATCAAGTGGTCATTATATATATACATACAAATAAGTAATTAACAACAATAATAAGTGGAGTAAATGAAAATCAAACAAGGAGATGTGCAGCTGGATTTCCAAGACAAGATTGAAATTTTTGGTTGCTTGTGTATGAATGTAAACTAGACATGCTTATTATGTTATTATTATGTATCAGTATTGCCTTGAGTTAAGTTAACCATATAAATTTATGTTTTTAAACCAGAAAAAAAATCAGACTATTATAAAATTTGAGCATTGTCATTATGAGAGACATGGTTTATTTCCCAAGACAAATCACAAACCTCCATGTGAGTTTCCACCACTATTGTTACTCTGTCTTAAAACATAATGTGTATCGCATTAAATTATTTTTCGTGCCTTTTTGTTATTTTTAGAATACAAATTACCAACTTGCTTATTCAATCTTGGAGGTGATGACTAGCTAAAGAAGGGACACCACTAACGTGCCACTTGTGTAGAGATATTCAATTGTAGTATATATTATATGCAAATATGATATTTCTTTTTTTCCTTATAATTTCTATTTAAATTAAGTCTTCACTTCTTAGCGTTTTGCATACAAAACAAAACTTCTTAATACATTTCTCATACACAGGCTGCGGACCTTAGTGGCATTTGCTCAGAGTTACTATTATAGATCACTTTAAAACATAAATAGGAAAAGTGTTTCGATAATGGAGCTCTAGTTGTAGAAATTTCGTTATTAAATTATGAAAACTAAATTAAGATGAACATGGCATACATAGTTGTATCGATGGTATGTTTGGATTTATATGCTTATGGCAGAAAATAACAAATACAGAAGTACAATAATGCTGCTAAATGGTTATAATATATGGTCTCTTTTGTTAAGACAACTACCAACACAACAACACAAGATAATCATCGATTAATACATTATTAAATCTTAATTATTATTGCCAAAATCTAGGGATAGTTGAAATATAAAACTATACGATGCACTATTACATACATTCTCCATTAATCATTTGGCAATGATGAACTGCTCCTATTATATAGTACCATTCTTCATTTTATTTATGTTCCTTAACATCTCTATTACTAAAGATTTTCGAAGGTTATGAAATATTTTGAGGTTGTTGACAAAAATAAAAAATAAAAAATTGAGGCGTATATGATATATTTATACAAAAAATATATTGATAATTTCTGAACAATTTGTTGGTAGAGCGAGGCGATTTAAAAAGACGACAGACATATTATATTGGGCCTTTATCTTCTGTACATCAAACCTCGTATTTATCGTTAACTTACGATAGACCCACTTACTACGCAATCTGGCCCATTAAAGTTCAGTAATCCTTATTATTCGATTTTATCAAAATAATAAAATGAATAATCCGTATTACTGTATTTGTTGAGGTCCCTGCACCACAAATACCGAACCATCTAGATCCTCAAAATCAGATATTTGTATGGGTAATCTACGTATACATTTTTATAGAGTTTTTTTGCATTAATTCATTTGGATCCGGGTTTTATCCGGGTTTAATTCTATCCGGATCTTGGATAAGGAATTTTAGGAATGTTGTCTTAATTTCAAACTAATAAATGAAGCCATGTTGTCTTAATATCTTTCATATTAATGACCCTAATAAATAGCCGATTTTAATGGAAAATCGTTTTCATATTTATGCTCATAATAAATGTCCAGATTTTAACAATATATACATATATTATGAAATTATAAAGAAAAAAACATATTTATTTTTTTAGCAGTATATATAATATATATATATATATATATTATGTTAATAAATTTGTTTAATATTCTAATAATAAGCTATGTCATTTTTTTTTAACAATAACAGATTAAATATAGGCAATTGCCCATTTAAATTGCAATAAATTTAAAATCAAAATAACAATCTACATATATATTTTTACAGGGGTTTTTTACTTTTAATAATTTGGATCCGGGTTTTACTCGGTTTTCTATATCCGGATCTTGGATAAGACATTTAAGGAAATCTAAAAAAACCCGTTATTAATGTAGATAATTACACATATATTTCGGTATAAGCATATTCCAAAAATCTCTCCCAAATCAAAGATGTTACGTTCAAAAACTGTTGCCAAAAATCTCTCGCTTTCCTTCTAAAATCTCTACCATTGGCTGTCATCCCAACTAATTACTCATAATTATATTTCCTATATTCCTTATTTTTCCGAGATTTGCAAGAAAATTACTTCAATTCCAAAAATAAAAGATTTTGCAGATCTTGTGTACTTGATCAGCAGGATTTAGGAATCACTCACCCAAACCTATAGTATTCTCAAA